GACAGCTTCAATTCTATTTCCTGCCTGAGGGCATGCCCTTGCCTCTGAGATTACCTTCCCGGCATTCCATATACATAGCACCTGTATCTTTTGCTTCGTCTTTGTCTCCCCCATTAGAATGCAAGTTCCTTGAGGGCAGGGACTGTTTTTGCCTTTCTTGGGATTCCTAGGGTTTAGCACAGTGCCTGGCACATTGTAAGCATTTAATAAATACCTGCTGACTGTCAGGCTCAATAACTACTCTGTTACCCCTACCTCCCTGCCCTTGACACTTCAGGCGGTTCTTCCATTCAATTTCCAGGGAGTTTCCCTGGGGAAACTGAGGCACAGAGCAGTATAGAGGGATTCTAGGTCCTGATGTCCTGAGTGTAGACTTGGACTGGAAGCAAGAGTAAGGGAAGGCAGCGGACTGTCGCCCCCCCGCACACCTCCCCGAAGCGCCGCTAAGAGGCGCTGTAGCGCGGCGGGCTCTGTTGGTGTTTCTCTAGCCCGCCGCGCCGGCTGCTCGATGGTACGTATAAAAGGCGGTGCCGGGTTGACGGTGGGCTTAGTTCGCTGGTGCTGGAGCTGGAGCGTAAGCTACAGGGGATCGGCAGGAGCTGTAGGGCCGGGGGCGCCGAGCTGGGGCCACGCAGCCGGCTGCCGGCTGCCGCGGGCTCTCTCGGCCCTCTGGAGCCGCCCCCAGCGGCCGGAGCCCCTTCCCCGCCCCCGCACCCCGCCCTTTCTCGGGGAACCTCACCCCGGCACGCCCGGCCACCGGCCTCTTCCCTGTCCCCGGGCTGCCTTCACCTGCCCGGAGTCCCGGCCTCCTCCCCTCCCCTTTCCCAGCTGCGGGGTTCCAGCCTCCCCTCCCCTTCCCCAGCTGCGGGGTCCCAACCTCTTCTCCCTCTCCCCAGCTGCGGGGGTCCCAGCCTTCTCTCACCCTCCCCAGTTACGAGGTCCCAGCCTCTCCTCCCTTCCTTTCCGCAGCTGCCGGGCTCTCAGCCTCCTCTTCCTCCGGGGGCCCAGCCTCATCTCTGTCCCCTTCCCCAGGCTGCAGCTCTCAGGCTTCTCTGTCTCCCTCCCCAGCTGCGGGGTCCCAGCCTCCCTTCCCTCTCCTGCCTCCCTGGGCTACCTCCTCCTTCCCACCTGGCCTCCTAACTTCCCTCCCTCTTTCCCTCCCTCTCCTCTTCCCGCCAGTCTCCTCCTGGGTGGAGGGGGGACCTAACTCTCTCTTCTTGCCCACAGCTGGGAATCCCAGCCCTCCCCCTTCTTCCCTCTCCTCTCCCCTGCCCCGGGATTCCCAGACTCCTCAGCTTTCCTTTCCTTTCCTCCCTCATATGGAAATCCTGGTCTCCTCTCCCCTCCTTCCCCCCTAGTCTGTGCACATCCCTTTCCACCTGCCCCCACAACTCTCTTCCCTCTAAGAGGAGCAGTTCCTTAATCTTTTAAAACATGAGCTTTTCTTAGTAATTCTTTTGTCTTTATTCCCTCCCCATCCCCCCCCCCCCCCGCAACGAGTTTATTTCTTTTCTTTGGGCTCTGATTTCCAGACCTCTCCCTAGATTCATTGCTGCCTATGCCCCAGACCCTGCTTTTCCCTTGTTGAGGTTGGAGGGACCCTCCCCTCAAAGAACAGCATAAGAAGATGCCGGGGCCTGGCTTCTGTGGTCTCTCCCCACTCCGGGTGTTCCCCTCCGTGTTTGTGGCGGCTGCCCTGCTAGGATTGCTTCCAGTACTGAGGAGCCATGGGCTGCAGAATACAGTGACATCAAAGGTGTCCACCATGGGCTTGTACATAGGCCCTGGCGATGGGGATGTCACCTCAGCTCCACCAGAGGTCAGCCACGAAGTCCACCCGGTGACCAACCATTCGGGGCCCTTTCATGGGAAGCCACGCAAGCCTTTTCCTGTCCTTGGCATCGATTATACTCACGTGCGGACCCCCTTCGAGATCTCCCTCTGGATCCTGTTAGCGTGTCTTATGAAGCTGGGTATGTTGTGTGACTTCTGTCTGGGCTGGGCAGTGGGGATTGGAGGGCATACTGTGCAACAGAATCACCCCGGTGGGTTGGGGAGAGTTCCCCACTCCCCCTTGCCTGGGGTTTTTGAGGCCAACTGTCCATAGTACAAATTCTTTCAGTAGGACTGTTTTCTCCAGGGTCTGTGACATTACTGAGGGGTCCAGGGTCTCTAATAGTACTGGGGAAATGTTGCTCTTACTGCCCATATGGGCAGGCCTAAGGGACAGATTTGTTTGTGCCTTCTGTCTATGTTAAGGCTAGTGAAGAGGGGCTTTCACTGGGGTCCTAATTGCCAGACGGTTATTTGGTGGTGAGGAACGTGGTCTTTTTTGTTTCTTTGTTTTTGCTGTGGACACCTTCCATTTTGCCTAGTGGCAGTGATCTGTGGGACTGAGGGCCTGGGTAGGTTGTATGTCTTTTCTGGCTTGCTTGAATCCCAGGTGAACTCTATGCTTAGGTGGGCTGGGAATCATCCCAGGAGTTTGTTTTCCCCTTCTCACCAATTCTCTGCCCATTTTGGGAGCCCTGAGGTATCTCAGCCACCGGGGCTTTAGGAGTTCAGAGGTTCACTCCAGAATGCAGATGTTTCTTGTGTCCACGATCCACTTCCAAAGATTTAGCAGTCAGCTTTGCATCTTGGCCAGATTGGGAAGAGCCTGGAGATGATTTGTGTGGCTATAATGCTGTCCTCTGTTCAGCTGGGGAGACCTTGGGAATCTCTGAGCTAGATCTGTGCTTGGGGAGGAGCCTGTCTGATCTTGGCTGGTTACCAGATCAGTCCCAAGTGTGTACTTAGCTGTTTCTTAAAACTCAGCCTGTGCCTGGCCATGGTGCTGGCCTGGGAGCTGCCGGAGCTGGATGGATGGATGGGTGAAGGTCCTTAGCACTACAGATGGGGCATCCTGGTTTGGGAAGTGATTGTGTGGACTTGGGTGAGGGTGGCTGGGGAGGATTAGTGGCTAAAAAGTGGCTCCTCCCTGGAGAGGCCCAGGTGGACTGAGCCAGTGTCACATGGGTGATTGACAGACCAGCCTGTCTGGACCCTGTCATGCCCAGCGATCCCAGTAGCCTGACTGGTTTTGTGTCAGGGGAGCCTTTTAAGCTGATTTTGCCCTGGGCCAGCTCTGGGAGTTTTGGTGACCTGGGTGTTCCAGGGGCTTGGTGGAGAACCTTCCCACCTTCCCAAGGACATGCAGGAGTGATGTCAGGATGTTAGGTTTTGGATAGTGATGCAGAAAGGTAGTACTGTCTTCTCTGATTCCTTGTATGGCTAATTTGTGATAGGTATATGATGTGCACCCGGGCAAGGTGGGCAGAGGCCACGTTGCCTGGCACCCTGGTCCTAGCTTACCCACTGCAGCTGAATGTCTTGCAGGCAGCAGGACCTACTTACGAGGTCTGGAGGCAGACAGCCTCGTATTCTCATCCGGACGATCCTGTGACCTTGACCGGCTGGAACTTCTCTCTGCCCCAGTCTCCCCTTCTGTAAAATGGGGATGGTTCTTGAGGTGGAGACCATGCTAGTTGCCTTATAAATCAGTTCAATCTATTGGGCATCGAGTGCCTGAGGAGACTGGTGTGGTGATGCAGTTGGATTAGAGCTGGCCTCAGAATCAGAGTCAGCAGGACCTGCTTTAAGTCCTGCTGCTGACCTTGCACTGACTGAGTGACCCTGGGCAAGTCCTTCACCCTTCAGTGTTCTCAGCATCTCTCTTAAGACTAAGTTACAGAGCAGTTGTCTGGCATTTTCTCACCAGGAGTTCCCTGTGTCGATGGAATCACGAGTCTAGCCCCACAAAAAACGAGCATGGCAGCGTGCTAGGTGCCAGAGATACCAAGAGGAAGACGAAATGAAAACCAATTGCCTTCCAAGAGCCTCCGTTTTACAATATGTAAATGTCATTTAAGGAGGAAGAAGGGATGTGCAACTCAGAGGCTCAGGACAGGCCTCCTTTGGAGATGTGGTGCCTGAGCTGATGCTTGAAGGGAGCCGGGGCTTCCAAGAGGCCTGCACTAGGAGGGAGCACGTTGCCTGGCATGGGGGGAACGCATGGCAGCAAAGGGCAGTTTGTACAAAGGCATGGAAGTGGGCATTAAGGTTCTGGCTTTGGGGCGCCTTGGTGTGGCTATGATGTGTCAGCCTTTTTCAGTCCATGAAAAGAGACTTCAGAGACATGTAAATAAATGTAAGTAAAAAATCATCCCCTCCTTCCACTGGTACATCTGGGCAGGGCCTCTGTGTGTGAGGCAGGGCTAAGCACTTACTACCACTCTTGCAGATAGAACTGATTGAAAAGTAGCCAAGACCCAAGTATCTCCCCCAGACATAGGTTCTAATACCATTGAATCTCGGAATTGGAAGCATCCTTATGTTGTTGTTCAGTCACGTCTGACTCTTTGTGACTTCATTTGGGGTTTTCTTGGCAAAAGTACTACAGTGGTTTGCCCTTTCCTTTTCCAGCTCATTTTACAGATGAGGAAACTGAGGCAAACAGGGTGAAGTGACTTGTCTAGGGTCACCCAGCTAGGAAGTGCCTGAGGCCAGATTTGAACTCACGAAGTTGAGTCTGACTCCAGGACTGGCACTCTATGCACTGCGCCACCTCGCCGCCCCTAGGGTCAGGGGTTGGGGAACCTGCAGCTGCTGTAGGTCGTCATACCCAGACCTGCACAGAAATACCCTTCACAGCATCCTAGATGAGTGGTCAGCCAGCCCTTGGCTGGAGAACCTCTCAGGAGGGGCCACCTGCTGCCTCCTAAGGGCGCCCATTCTGCTTGGACGTCATTCTGATTGTAGCAAGTTCGTCCTGCTACTTACTATGCCTCTGCCACTTTAACCTTTCCTCATAGATCTGCCCTCTGGTTCTTGCAGACAACTTTTCAAATGCTTGACAACCGCCGTCGTGGCCCACTAAGTCTTCTCTGGAGGAAGCATGCCCGGTTCCTTCCTAATAGGGTGATAACTGCACCTGGGTTTGAGTTGCTTCCCTAGCAGACCAGTCTGCAGTGAGGAGGGGAGTCCTCGGATGCTGGGGACTCCTCCCACAGGCTTGTAGTGCATGGCCCTCAGCACTGAAAAGGCTCTCTGGGGCCTAGCATCATTGAAGTGTATGATTCAGGGCTGGAAAGGGACTGTAGATTCCCCAACCCTTCGAATTCTATAGAGGAGACACCTGGGCCCCAGAGAGAAGTGAGGTTCCCTGGGGGTGCACGGGGTCAGAGCTGAGACCAGAACAGACCTAGTGTTTTTGCCATCATACAGCGGGGAAGGGGGTAGCCAGTAGATTCAGGGGACCCTACTGAGACTGTAGGATATGAGACAGCTCTCCATTTCTACCTTCCCTTGCCTCCTGTTTTAAACACTTACCATGTATTCACAAGTAGTCATCTCTAACCCATGACAGCTGAAGTGTTATCCCAGGATCGTAGGATTTTAAATATCTCACCCCAGGGAATCTTGCTGCAGCTGGTTTGGGGGTGTGGCTTATGGACTTTGTCCCTTTCTGTGAAGTTGTTTCAGGCTGGCCCTCGAGGGAGTTAATGAGCCAGAGGAGAAGTGGGGTGCCCCTGGGGCTGCTAAGGCTGGTTCCACTGACTGTACCAGCAGATACCCAAGAGATCGAGTGGGCTATTTTGGGGCCTTGCCTTTTCTCTTGCCTCCCTAACGTGGGCAGAAACCGTGTGCCCTGAGCCCTGATTCTGTCATCCAAGGCAACTGTTTCCCTGGCAGGGCCCCCTTCCTTTAAGAATAGAAAGTGCTGTGTGTGATGCTCCTTTTTATCCCAAAGCTTCAAATCAGCAAACCACACCTTGGGTGGTTATTGTAGGAGGAGGTGGTTAGAATCATACAGTGTTGGAAGTGAAAGGGATCTGACTTAGAACATAGGATGTCAGAGCTGGAAGGGCCCTTAGAACAGACAATGTCAGACCCAGGAGGGACCTCACATGGGTTTATAGTGCATGCTTAAAATATGACATCTAGAGGGGACCTTCAGAATCATTCAATCCAAGCCCCTTGTCTTACATAGCTTCCTGGATGGAGAAAAAAGGCTCCCAAGTTCTCTCCCTAATGTACTGTTGACTCACTATGTGGAACTTGTTCTGTCTCTGAGAAGGAAGGAAAGGGAGGAAACAAGTATTTATTAAGCTCCTGCCACATGCCAGTCGTTGTGCTAAGTGCTTTACAAAAGTTGTCTCATTTGTCCTCACTACAACCCCGGGAGATAGGTTGCTGTTATTGTCTCCATTTTACAGTTGAGGAAACTGAGGCAAACAGGTTAGGTGACTTGCTCAGGGTCACATAGCTAGAAAGTATCTGAAGCTGGATTTGAACAGGTCTTCCTGACTCCGTGCACTATGCCATCTAGCTGCCTCTAGAGACGGGACTATCAGCCTTGACCTTTGGTGGAGGTAACAGGTTACATAGATGAAAATTGTGCATGGTTCGGAGACCTTGGATTCCTTGGGAGAGCAGTTCCCCTCTCTGGTTTCAGTTTCCACTTGTATAGAAGGATGGGGTTAGACTAGATGGTCTCTAAGATTCTGTGGACCTGAGAAAAACTAGATTTTTGCGTAAGTAGTTTACTAATACTCAGATATATAGTTTGCAGTTTTAGTATTGACCTTTAGGCCCTTGCAATTCCCCTTGTCCCTCTGTTGGCCCTGGGCTTGCAGCCTTTGCTTGGGGATCTTTCTGGCTGGTTGAGAATGTGTTCCTGGAAGTCCAGGATTGCTGTATTAGCCACTGTGAGTAGTGGGAGACTTGGAGGCATTGGATCCAGTGAAGGCACTTGGCTGTGTGAATGAACTAGAAGAATCTACTAAGAATATCATGTAATCATTGGCATGTCGCAGCTGGTGAGGGCCTTTGAAAAGAGAACGTTAGAGGCAGAACGGACCTCAGAGCAAAGACCAGCAAGAGTAAGAAGGGATTTTAAATCAGTATCTGAACCGGAAGGGGCCTTGGGACA